GGGGGGATTGGGTAAAAAGAAGATGTTCCGAGAAACGAACACGTACGTCGGGACGAGGATTCGCGACAGTGGTCCTAAAACAACGTGTTGCAGATGACCGGCTTGGACGGGTGTTTGTGCCGTATGTGATCCTGGATGTTGAACTTTTTCTTGCTCAACTTGCCGCAATAAGGACACTCGAAGCGCGGCGGTTTGCCGCAATCGTACTTGAAGTGGGCCGTCACCGCGCTCTTCGTCGTGTAACTCTTTCGACAACGTGGACAAGGAAATCGGGTTTTATTCTTTCTCGAGCTTCGTTCCAGGTACTTGTCCTCGATCCAAGGTAGCGGCAACATTTGTAGAAAGGCTGAAAACAAAAACGGAAGAGATCGGTTAGCCGAGAAGCTCCATCACGACGCGTCGATAACCTTGTCTCTTTCTTTTCCACGCTTTCTCTCCGCGATATTCTCGCGTGCCGATCCTTCGTGCGAAAACTTACGCATCGTTCCCCTGAAACGAGACCGCGAGATCCAGAGAGGAACAGGCAGGGGGTAGAGAGACAGAGAAAAAGAATGTGTGTGTGTGAGAGAGAGAGAGAGAGAGAGAGAGAGCGAGCCCGTGTACGCGGAGAAGATGGACGGTAACGAAGAAGAAGGTGTTTCCTTTCCTCGGGATTGTAGTAAAGATGAATATGAAAATTCGAAAATTGTGCTTGCAGGCTCACACACATACACGCGCGCACGCGCGAGCGTACGCGCATGTGCGCAACGTTCAGTTTTCTCGTCGAGTTAGAAAGAGAGAGAGAGAGAGAGAGGGAGAGAGATACAGAGGGGGGGGGGGGAGAGGAACAAAGAGAGATGGGAAGGGAGAGAAAAAGAGACAAACAAGTAAAGCGATTGCAGGCATCTTCAAGCTGTATGTACGAGAAGAGAATTAATCGATGAATTAGCAAGACTCGCGACGCGAACGACGATCCGACAACTACGAGCCATTCTCTCGTTTGTCGTTCCCGTTCCCTTCCATCACGTCGCACCGACGTCGCTCCGACGTCGCACACGCTTTCGGCCATCGCCGATTTTCCACCTGTAAAATAATTTCATCCGTTAATATCTCGGAACGAACGATCGATCGAAAAAGTCATCTTTCTCGATCGCGGGACTGGGAGGTGCGTACAGTGGACAACAATGCAAACGACTCGTTATTTTTCCATCAATCACGATTTATTGTCGAATCTTTCATATCGATTAAAAAACAAAGAAGAACACAGAGATAAGAGTGAAAGAGAATAAATAACGGATGGAGAGAAGGCGGGAAGAAAGAAAAAGGAAAATAGGAAATATATGGAAACTAAAGGAGATTAAAAATGAGAGGAAAGCGAGCGAGCGAGTTAGCGAGTTAGCGAGTGAGAGAGGAAGAGAGGGGGGAGGGGAGAGAGTATGAGAGATCGGCGAAAGTTCACTGCTGGGCGTAATGAAGCACGACAATTTCCAACTTCGATCCTGGATGTTTGATCCGTATATGTTTGTAAACGTTGTTGGACTGTTTGCTTCTCATTCCGCAGTAGGGACATTGAAATCTCGGTGGGCTGCCACACTCGAACTTGTAATGGCGCAACATGTGATGCAAGTGTCGGTAACTCCTCTCGCACTTGGGGCACGTATACCTGATGCATCATGGTTACGTAAAAATGACGCACTCGAGCGTGAAACATGCTACTGATCGATAAACGCGGCGAACGACGTTCTCGCGGAGTCGCGAGCGAGAACGATGAACGGACTAGACTAACCTATCGTTATCTCCGTTTCCCTCCTTTGCCCATAGACGACGATAACAGTGTCGCGGTTCCGGTTGTTGCTGGTGTTGTTGATCCACGCGATAATGGAAACTCGACGGTGCCGGAAAATACATGGAACCTGAAAGCACAAGCAGAGGGTATCGTGATGAAACGCGCTCCCGTCTGGCCATCGCGACGCGCGCGCTCGTCGATCGCGAAGAAAGTTGCGGCAAGAAGGAAGAGAAAAAAAAAAAAAAAAAAAAAAAA